GAATATAATTAGCTAACATGTATTCAACCTCGCTCATGATTCATATTAATCAAATTAATTTCTTGGTCTACAAACAACGAATAATAGAAGTATTTATTGTTGGTCGATATGAGTATAAAATATTAGCAAATCGTTCTCGTTTACAAAGTAACGTGATATTAATTCTACAGATCCGTACTGCCAAATGTTTAGCGAAGGATAATGTGTTGAACAGTTCTATCAGATAACGAAAATCATTCCATCATACTCAAAGCAAGCAAACCAGATGACACTGTAATTTTGAGACGATTCATGGCATAACTCTGGATGAACTAGGATGATCTCAACCGATATTCAAAAATCCGCGTGAAAGAGCCTAAACCTAATGAAATCAGTACTGGCTTTCAAATCGACAAGAGCAGACACTACGCTTAGATCTTCGCTGACCAAGCCGAGCAGCGATAGCTATTTTTTGTTTTTTTTGCTATAAGAAATCTTCATTATGATATTGTCATTTCGCATTTAAAAAAAGTAACAATGAAAATAAAATTAACAATAACACGAGATGATTTTATAATAGTGAATGTAACCATTTGGTATCATGCAGATCACTATTCAAAAAAATTGATTTATCTCAATCATTGTTCAACTATCTTACATCGAACAAAATTTATCTGTAGAGTTTTTATAAAAATGGTGAGAACCTTGAGATAGTAATCTGAATTACACCAGTTAGGGTGATTCGAATCATTCTAACTGGAGAGAACTTTGAAAACCTCTAGTATTTCTCAAGTAGGTTTTCAAGTATTGTTCCTCAGACAAGAAAATGTTCGTCTCATTGTTCTCTATCTTCTCGTGTGAAACGAGACAAACATGAACTAATTTGGCCGATTATCAATCGAAATTATGAAACATAAACAGAAAAGAACATGTTTTTTTCGAGTCATCCTTCCTATCTTTGGATGAATATTTCTTTTTTATGAAAAGTCTCACGAAACAAAAATAACTCGATGAAAAATAAACTACTCTCTCTTGATAAAAAAAAGAATTAGAAACCATCTATCAATTCTCTGAAAATAGAAAATTCTGTTGTGTGGATGAGAATTAAAATACCAATCGTATAATCATTAATTTATGTAGTTCTATAGTATATGTCTCTCTTTCATTAGTACGTAGATTAACGGTACATACATTGTTTAATGAATTTGGCTTTGACTATATCAATGAAAGATATAATAATTCTGACTCATATATTCATTATGTTATACGTATTTCTTACATCTTCTTCACAGAAAAGGATACTTGATCTTATGTGGGGCACATTTCTGGATGTCCAAACACTTACGATCAACATGTACTTTTATTTTTTACACAAAATGAGTTAAATCGATTAGTTTGATGTAAATATAGTGTTATAATAATTGAACATTACAATATAAGAGTAGATTATTTTGTTTGTGATATACTTATAGTATATTTCTCATAGAAAATGAATATTCTGAAACAAGTCAAAACAATTTCAATTCAACATTATACTGACAATATCTTTATTATGCTGGTATTAAGAATGCTATAGATTTTTTTATTTCACAATAAAGCATGTCCTTCAGACCATTTTTCACGGCGATATTTCTTTTGTTTTTCTGACTTTGTTACGTCTAACTATACCATCATTCGAGATCATGAGTATTTGACATATGGAAATCTTGGTTTATTAAATTCATGTAGAATTATTTTATAAATAGTTATTTAAAATGAAAAGTATTGTCGATAAATTTTATATGTCAGAAAAACTAATGCTAATTATTTTCAGTTTTTTTTCTTTGTTATTACATAATTGCATTATCGTCTAAGATAATATTTATAGAAATATCATAACTTTTGTCGATCTCTATAAGAGATGGTTCTATTTAATTTTCAAGTTTGATTGAAAATTGTTCAAAGTTCTCTGCATATTGTTTTGTTTTTCTTTTATTAAAATCAGCATAATTGGTATACTCGAATGATGATAACATACAATACAATAGTCTTTCACGCTCTGGTGTCTTCTTTGTTTTTACAAAAAGAAATTATTTTCCTAACTCATCTCCCTATTATGAATGAATGCTTCATTTTTAGGAGAAAGATAAAGTTTTATTTTTGTCTTTGCTCATAAAACTTTTCGAAATCTCAAAAATATACGATATCTTTGAAATATCGATGACAAACGAAAGAAATTTTAAAGAAATGTTTTTTTTTTATATTTCTTCTTCAAAAAGTACCTTTTTTTATCATTTCTATGATAGTTGTTGTTTTAATTTATTTTTCAATCTTCTCAGGTTATAGCATTTTATTTTTCAAAATATCTTCTACAAAATGAAACTGATTGATTGATGAAATCCTAGCAAAACGAAAAACAAAAAAAATTGACGTTTCTCTATAAGTGAGGGCAGTCGAACAAGTATTTATTTATCGATAAATCCAAAACATAATGACTTCGTAATATAAAATGTTTTTGTCTCAAAAATGAATTTTTAGAATTATTAGTTTTTTTTCCACTCTGCCTTACATACTTTCTTTTGATAGATAAAAGGAAACGTAAAATTGTATGAGTAACTTAACCTTGTTTTTCTTTTCAAAATTTCAAAAGAAAGAGAAAATGTAATCAGAAAATTTTATAATTTATTAGATGATACCTATAGAAAGTAATTATTAGTTATTGCCTTTCTTTTCTGTTTTATAAAATATTTAAACATTTCTTAGTTTCACGTACATAACCAAACTTCCAGTGTACTGTATGAAATTGCAATGAAATTTAATAATGATCAGTTTTCGAGTCAAAAATTGATCACTGAATCAAAAAATAGTTTTTCATATGGTTCATCTTTATATAAGGACTCAAGACAAGTTAATTCATCAACTCGAGTTGATTTTAATGAAGACTTCTCGTTTGATTACAAAAATTGAATTTTCTTGGTCATATGTATCAATTATGAGTAGACAATAAATGTAATAAAGGAGTAACTATCATTCACTTATTATGAAGGATAACTGTATAAAATAAATCTTTTCGATAAGCACGTTCTGTAAATATCACAACAAACTATCAATGACCTGTATTATTGATTTTTATATATGTATTCAATTGCATTCACAAATTCAGAGAAATAGTGATGAATATAAAACTCTCAAAATTATTTTCAATATTAGATATAATCATTTCGTGATTGTGGATATATAAAAAACAAAACGAATGTTGAGGCACATGCACCAGAAGTCATCAATTCCTCTCAAAATATACAGCTGATTATACAGTATATATTATCGTTTTTTTTTTTGTTTTCCAGATCTATCTATAGAAAAAAAATTATTCATTTTTCACATTATGAATAGAAAACAGTGATACAAAAACAATACTATTTCTAGCTTTTGGAAATAGTTTTTTATACTAAACTACATACGATAAAATGTTAATAGAAAGAATGAATTGAGTTTAGATTTTATAAGCACTATCATTTTTACACATTTCACTTTCTTTTCAACGTAATCTAATGTAATGCGTGAAGACAAGAGGAATGTCATGCTCTTACTTCATTTGTGACAATTTTTTCTTGCCACCTGAATAATGTATCGCTTGTCACAAAGCGTAAGTGAAATTGGTTATTTGATCATATCAATTGAATCATGAAAACTGAGAAATATAAGGAAAAACAGAATTGTTTTGTTCATTGAAAATTCCAAAAACTAAATGCTTTTATTGCTCAAATCTATTCAGTTTGTTTAAATATTCACGAGTATTGATCAATGAAATAGATAATTGTTTCTAATTACTGAAAAAATCACTGTCTCTACGAAATTATATCATATGCTTAGAATTAAATGAGGTATATTCTGTGTTTTTATAGTTTGCAACTTCATAGACGATAAAAATAAATTTAAGTAAAAAATAAACTTGTCAATCTAATGATTTCATGATAGTAATAGACCATTGTAGGTGTATTCGTGTATTTCATATGATTTTTCCTTCATACAGAGATTGTTCAACAGATAAAAGAACTTCCTATTGTTTTCATAGTATTTAGTTTATTCAAATCTTTCGTCAAATTATTGTTGGTATATTGTTTGTTTCGATTGGATGGGGATGTTATGAAGTTTCATAAAAAAGAAAACATACTCAACAACTTGTTTGTGTATTTTCCTCGTTAAGTTTTGATGTTTTTGAAAATAATACAGACATATTCGGACATATATCCATTTTCCATAATTTTATAAAGACAATTAGAAAAAGTATTAATTAAATAGGTATATACATAGCTAGACTAGAATATTTTTTATTAGATTTGTCTTGTTTTCCGTAATTGATATGACAAAAGAACAAATTGAAGGGTCTTCATTGCTTAATATAGTCATAAAAAACTATTCAATTCTCTCATCAATATAGACATTGTTCAATTGGTATTTTTTTGCCGATTTCGTTATGTAATGAACTGATGTAGTTATCGAGTATTTGTAAAAGGAACACTTTTATTGCGATATTTATTTTGTTTTTCTTTTCAAAAAAAGTGAACAAACATGAGTAAATAATAGGTGAGAAAATGTATAAGCTAGACATTTCATTTGAAGAGAGCTTGTTACAATGCATAATTGAACTAAAGAAATAATAAAATAATGTATAAAAGGAAATTACTAAGATTATTAGTTAATAAAATTGATCTGAATATGAGGTATCTTTTGTTTATGCTTTATATTTATTTATTTAAATCTTATAATTTCAATTAGTTTGTTATCTGTTGACAATAATAAGAAAAAATTTTGTTATACTCGAAGTACATTAATTTCGTTGACTGAAAATTGTCTCTGCCTTTTTAGCAATCAAATTATGTATAGATCAAATATTTGATTTTGTAAAAGAAATCTCAATAATAATAAATCAATTAATTAATCAATCATATATTTCTTTTCTCATTAGACTTTCAATGAAAAAATTTTGATAAAGATGTGTTAACATTCTATGCGTGAAAAAGAATTTTCGTAAGAACCATATGTTAAGAAGTATAAGTGAATCTTTGAAAAGTAGAAGAAAAATTTGATCTAAATGATATTTAAAGAAAATTGCAAACGTCCTCCTATGAAATGATATCCTCCTCGTTACTTTTATGAGAAGTTTCTATCAATAAAAAGGCTTATAATAAAAGATTTATTGACATGCTTATATTCGATATATATGATAGAATTCAGATTGATGTTGATGCTTATAGAATATCTGTGTAAAGTTTTTTGTTTAAAATATCAAGTAACTTCTCCCGATTGTAACGTATTAAACAATGAGTCTTTTGATAAGATTCATAAACAATTTGCTTTGTATTCTAATATTTATTCAAATTTAATTTATGTTTCTTTTTTCAAATGACCTCAGTTCAATTCAAATAGTCATTAGTCCAGAAATCTTACTCATACGTACTGCTGATCGCAAGATTCAATTAGTATGATTAGGTACAACAGATCAGGCATCATATGATCATGATTGCATAAGAGGAAAATAATTTTTGAATTTTTATATCAAGACAGACCAACTCTTTGCCAGTATTTTCATATGAAGAAATCCAATATGATTTTTTTTTGTATTAACCTCTTTGTATATCTGTTGTGTCTGTTATTTATTTGATTAAATTATTAAATTGAATGAAGACATTAATAATTGTTTTTTTATTCAAACGATTAATGTGGAAAATCAGCTATTGTAATCAATTTAAATTAAATAGTCTGGTTGCTTTACCTTTTATTTTGAAGAAAATTCGTTTCCAGAAAAAAGTGCATTTTGATCAGAGATTTCTCTTTAGGTTCTCTAATAGTGTAGAGCTACGTTCAAAATTTGGGTGTGGGTGTAGATAAACAGAAGACCCCTCCACACCCACACCCTTCAAAAAAATTTCTTCAAAAGAAAATTTTTATCAAGATTAAATAACAGGAAAATTAGAAGCTGTTGGAGATACAGTAGAACGATTTCATTTTATTTTACATCCAAAAGATGAACAAAGTTTAACTCGTGAAAATCAAGATAAAGGAAAAGAATTATATTCACTTTTAGTTCACCATGAAATTATTCAAGGAGATACAATAAGAAAAAGATTTCGAAATAATTCACAAGAACGAGATAAAATAGAAAAGATAATTCGAAATGATCTTGATCCTTCGATTGCCGATCCATTAATTAGTTTATTAAATAGTGAATCTTATTTTGAAAAAAAAAAGATTTCGACGATATTGTTTGTTATAGTGAAGAATTATGGCAAATTTTAAATATAAATAGAATAGAAAAAGAATTACCACGGATATATGAAAATGTTTAGAAAGATTTAGAAGATAAAATAGATCCACAACAAGTTAATATTTCTCTATTTGAACAATCAATAGAAAGGAAGATATGCAAAAATTAAATTTAACGATAATGGTCATGAAACAAAAGATCTTAAAACATTTTTAATAGAATTAAAAGATAATATTAGTCAGCAAAATCAATATTTTTATCAAACAGATTTACCATTTACTATTAAAGAAGAAGAAGGAACTAATATTCGAATTTATCAAAAAGAAAAAAATATTTTAAAGTCTGGTGGACTTGCCAAATATAAATATGGAGATATTAAAAGAAATATTGAAAGAATTTTAAATAAAATTTAAAAAAAACACTCAATTTGAAAATGATAAAGAATTAATTTTGTCGAAAATTTTGTCTTTACAAGAAGATATTCGTTCATTTAAAAAACGTTTAAAAGCTAATTTAAAAGATTTTATAGATCTTCAAGATCTTCAAGATCAAGAAAATGTTCCAAGTGAATTAAGATTTTTTTAAAGGTTTTAATCTTACCAAATTTTTGATTATTGAAGAAGATAAATCTTGGTGGGATTGGAATGGTTTTGCCGTTACAATGATAGGACTTGTTCAAGTCATTGCCGAAGCTGTTTTAGTAGCCTTTGGTTTGACTCAGATAGGCAATGCTTTAATTAGTGAAGGTGTTTCTAATATGGCAGAATTATCAGGTACTTTTAGTTGGAAAGAATGGGCAATACAAAAAGCAATTAGCTTCGGTCTCTCTATGTTGACTGCTGGAATTGGAAAGTTTTTGACGGATAAAATTATGGAACAGATTCAAGAAAATGTTATACAAAAGATTGTTAGTAGAATAGAAGAAAATTTATTAAAAGGAATAATCGATTTAATAAGTAATAAAGTAGCAACTCTTTATCTTCAAAGTAAAAATGAAGAAGAGTTCGAAAAATCTTTTGAAGAATTGAAAAAACATATTAGAAAAAAACACTAGGAAAAGATATTTTATTACCTCAACAATTTGATAATATTCGAACACGAGTTGTATCTTCTTTAAGAAATAGTTATCATCTATTTGCTGATGGTCTAAAGAAATCAAATTCAAAATACGTTAAAATAGCTGCTACTACTCTTAAAGCAATAGATATCATTAATAAGTTGTGGACTGTAGTTCAATCTGTCTTACAGTTCGAACATGTCTTTATAATACTTTAAAAGATATTATTGAAGGTACTACCAAAGAAAATCAGAATATTTATAGAAAAAATATTAATCAGAACCTTGTCGAAATAAGAGCAGAACAATTGAATAGAATCATTAGAGAATAGATATATCAACTAAATTAACAAAAGAATTAGATACAGTAGTAAGACAAGCTATTAATGGAACATTAAAACAGATTGGAAAAACCATTGTACAAGGAATAAAGACAATGGTTGATTCAAAATTTAATAGAAAAAATCCAGCTAATATAATGAAACAATCGAATCAAAATAGACAAAATCATGCAGAAAGTCAAATTGCTAATAAATCAAGATTCAAAGAAAGAATAACAAGATCGAGTGAAAAGAGAAGATCTACAAAATAATATTAGAAACCCAAAACAAATTACTGCAAGTTATTTGAGATAAGCAAAAGATAAAGATAGAGCTTTAGGTCTAACTGATATCAAAATGTTAGCAGATCGTAAAAGAAGAAAAAATAACTGTTTACAATTCAGATACTGGCGAAAAAGAAATAATAAATCCTTCAGAAGTAAGAAAAATACCTGTTCTTTTTAAACAATCTGCTAAAATCTATTATGAAGCAG